AATTACTCACATTGAGAGTTTTGTTTGATACGCTTCATGACAGCCCGAAATGTGTCAAACGCTTTTACCCGATCGGACGGGTTACGTCGCACATTTTATGCCATCCTGACAGGCATTCACATCAATAGACAAATCTCTCTACTTTTCTTGTGAGTGAAGTATTTCCCCGTTAACCAGGTTGCTACTGTCACGAGGGTGTTTATCACTGATGGTGTCGTTTTGCCAACCATTAAGAGACGCAACAAGTCAAAAACTGGGAGCGTTCGGATGCGAACACGAGAGTAAAATATGCCGTGAAGCCAAATATGTAATGACTGTATTTCCTAAACATTTCTTGACAGAACCCGTCAGTATGAAAACAAAACTATCATTCAAGTGCATAAACTTCCTATCCAGTTGTTTTGTTCTTACAATTAGACCGGTCCTATTCCGCAGCTCAGATTCATTACTGGTTAATCTTGGTTGCTTGTTGGTTCTACGGCATCAGAACGATATTTATTCATTCCTTTTTATTGGAAAGTAACTTCTATAATCAATTTTTGCATAGTACACTTTACCATGATAAAAAGTAGTAAGGACGAATTCCATAGCCACAACCGTTTGTCTTCGCCCTGCAAAATCCAGGTTTGAGTGTTATTTCCCGATCCGTGGTTGCAATAGCACAACATGTTTTGATCTTAATGCTGAGGTGTTTGACAACTTCTATCCACTGGTAACATGTGCGTGCACAATTAGATATTCTTCGTCGATCTTCCGAGATGTCGAAATCATGTAGTCTTTTCTGCCCGTGCATTTTAACTTGATCCACATTGTAGATGCGTACCCGCGGTACGACATTGCCTACTCTTGTCATGCTTTGGTGCTTTGAGATTTTCATTTTGCCAACAAATCGAATACCATATCACAGTAATACAAGTGAAAGGTGTCTAAAACGCACCATTCTTGTAAGCAAAACCTCTAAATGTCGCATACAGTGCATATTCTTTTCATTTAAAGCCACAAATAACGATGAAAATAATGAATGCCTACCGTTCCCTGACCCCAGTTGACAAGAAATCCGTTCAGGGAAATGAATTGAGATAGACAGTGCGAGGTGAATCAACATAGTTTGCCTCCGTTACTGTCATCATTGTAGACTGGTTGCAACAGTGGACACTTTTACGTCGGTCAGCTGTGAAGCGTACGATCACCATACCTCATTTCCTAACCAAGCTTTGCAAAGTCGACGTTGGTTATTAAAACTGAGACTGAAACTGACTGACCTCAGAATATCCCGGTGCTTTTTTTTTATCTGACTCGCGCACAGTGGCATGGCTGAAGTTTTTGCGTCGAGGTTAGATGAATAAGGGTCGTGACTATGGATTTGCTATTTTTAGTTAAGGGAATGTGGGTCAAGGTCAAAGGTTTACGCTTTGTGGCTAATATCTTATTGGGTTTTGATTAATGCTTGACTGGGAAAGGTGCAGCAACTCTCGGGATGTGTCTGTTCACTAATGTTTAATTTTGAATCAGAATCCATGAACGGAAATTCACTGTTACTCTGTCATTTAGTTGACAAATCTAATATCCGGTTGGTTACATTAGCGTCCTGTATAATGATCCAAACGTTCCGTTCCGTCTGAATGCAATTCTTGATTCTAAGAACATGGCATTTATGGTAATCAACTGAAATGTCACATATTTTTGTCCTGGACTTGACAACCCCAGATCATCTGTAATTTAAGTCATTTTATGAACGTCTGCACACAAATGATACCTGATATTAGTTTGTGAATCGCTGTGGACACATTTGAGTAAACTGTGCACCATCTTCCGTCCCCCAATCCTACCCCCTTACTGAATTCTTCCACCTCACACATCAACTGCACACGGAATTTCTCATTTCGAAGTACGAGGTGGTCAGTCTGAACGAATCCCGCCTGTTGGAGTCCCGGTTGCTCGCACCAGCCGGAACCCCGTTGACCGGAATCTCGTTGGATTTTACAGGAACTGTTGCTTTTGTCACCTCCTTGAGTAAAGTAAGTGTGTGATATTTGAAATGGTGGAATCCACTGTTTTCCTTTTTGTTAGATGATCGTTATCATTTGTTGATTTGTGTGACCTATTGTGTAGCATATTATGTACGAAGGTCTAATATTTTTCGAACTAGTGGCACCAACGCCCGCCCCATGTACATGCTGTACTGACTTGGATGTATGACATGTACATTCGGATCGCAGTCCACTTTGTTTGTCGGCCCCAGTAACCGTAAGTAATCGAAGAATAGTCTGTCTCAGGAATGTTCAGATTGCCCAGGTTACGGGCACACTGCAACATATTCCCTTAATCGACCACACCTTACCTATAAGGTTGACGATGATGACAGGAGACCTGTGTTGTGATGCTCGAGAAAAGTTGGGCATTGATGACACGCGTGTGCACCTCCTTCAAGCGTAACCAGAGCTTATCCCAGAGATTATATCTGATAAGTCAATCGGAGCGGAAACAGCATTAGGTTTTGTTTTCCTTATTTAATTTCAGGTTTTTCTTATCTCGGAGGGTCTACGGTTTCGGAGGACATACTCTCAGGAGATGTCACATATAATGTGTCTTTAGGTCATTAACAATATCGAAACTAGCCAAATCCCATCCCGTTCGCTCATAAACTTGTTCACGTGAACAGTTGTTGACGTGTTTACACTTTTTCATCCCTTCCGTCATCTCGGTCAGTCGAGGCTCATGTTCTCATCAATATTCAACTTTCACCTATAGATTATTGCATTAAAATCGCGCATAAAAAGGTCAGTTATTGAAAGAAAGAAAGCAGAGGTAACTTTCGCCCTCTCACACATGATCCGTCTTCCTCATTCTTGGTTTCAATCTTTAGTTCATCCGTGTTCGGGTCAGTCAACCACAGTAATTCGTTTTTTGTTCTCCGGTGTTCTCCCCTATTCATCCGATACGAATAACCAGTCACGATCGCGTTTATGCCCCTTGTGCCATATTCGCTTCGGTCGCACCGTTCTATGTAGAGTGTGTTAGACTGCGTTTCCCTGGCTAAGGTCATTGCTGAGTGATATTGTGACGAGGGTGGTAGGGGTGGGGTGGGGTGGGGTTCAAGCAGTGCCCGAGGTGACGGACGGGTGTTGAGAGGATGATTATCGTGATTAGAATTTGTCGATTGGACACATTCCTCACACAATGACCTTGATTTGGTTTTGCTAACCGGACGAGTTAGAACAGTGTGCACGAGGAAAGTGTTCTCTTCTCACAACTGCCACCTAGCAGCCATTTTAGACAAGCAGTTTTATTTTCTGGATAGTCTTTTTTCGTCGTAGCTTCCTGCTAGGCGCAATCGGACGAAAATGAAGCCTATTCGAGGCGCCGTTCAGTGTCCAGTCTAATAGCTTACAATACTGCGCGAACCAAGTTTTCTTTACCTATAAATTACATTTTACGTTGCATCACGTTCCGACCGCCTGATCTTTCGCTAGTTTCCACCTGGGTGGCGGTGGCGCAGTGGTTTAGTCACTCACCGGCGTCCTTTGGACCCTGTGGTCCGAGGTTCGTGCCCCGCCACGGCCACCCAACTTTGGTGGTAGGCAGCTCTGCTGTCACCCAGTTCTATACCACGCCTGAGCTAGCGGGGCCTTATGTGATTCGCCACTCCCAGTCTCGGGGCTTAGGTTGCCGATTGTCATCGTTGAACAGCAGGTCTTCGTGCGTATGGGGGTCCACTCCGACTGCTGGTCATCACACATACTGGTGTGTAATTTTAAAAAAAATTTTGGAGGAGACCAATGTGCTTAATCCCTTTTTCGGTGTACTGCGACTCAGTTCCTGAAGTGCGCTTTAACGAGGAAAACTGAAAAGACACCAGTATTGCATTTTTGCATCAGGGTGGTGCGAATCATCAAGGACGCGCCAATCGATAGCCAATCGGGTATGACAGTGTGCAGATTCTTCTTCATAGGGTGTCATCAAGTCCAAATCGCATCTGCACCATGTTTGTTCCATTGATCTCTCTTTTGAAATCATTTTTGAATCACTAGAGGACTGCCCCACAGAAATGGGGGTGGTCTTGAATAGGGGGAAATTTAATACTCTGATTTGCCTCAGGGCGCGTAAGCGGTTAATATGTTTGCGTCCTGGGTTCGATCAGGACTGAAGTCTATTTGGGCTCATTGACGATGATGATAATGATGATAGCAAATAAATAGATTAAGAAAGCACCGGACTGCCCCACAGCTTTTCCATTATCTTTTTGCCCAAAAGTCGCATTAAATAATAATGCGAAGTGCTGTACAATTCAATTATTTCTCCAAAACACTACATTTTTGCCGGAATTATTTGATTTCTTATGTTTTAGTCATGTTTCATTCCAGATCGTGGCGGAGTACCAAGTCCTACTTTACATCTGGATGTGTAGTTTTAATCGCGCAGGCTTTTTGACTGCTGTGTCATTATGATCCGAAAGCTCTCGGTTAAATTAAACTGTATAGACCATGACAAACTGAAAACAGACGTCATCTTCACCTATGTGTAGAAGAAGCCATCTTCATTTCTGAGGCCTGCAACCATTTCTCAAAAAGACATTTTATCGCCACAAGTCAACACTTTCTGTTCTAAACATACATCCCGATAGTGTTTGCAAAATGCATCATTCAGATTTCCCATCACATCTGGTCCACTCTTCTTCTGCTCGAGAAATGATAGATCTGTGGCAAGCCGACGGAGTACGACTCCAGATGCGATTATTTTCACTCAGGGTCGAGGTTGGGGGAAAATGTTTGACACTCTGGACTTAAGAATTCGACCTCGATCGATACCATTACCGCTGTTTCGGTTACAAGACTCCGAAATAGGCTCAAGTGTTGATGCCTCCAAACAATGAGTAAACCCGATTGTATAACCTTAGACCCCTTCCCGTTAGTGCATTTTGGCCACCGTTGGTTACTATTTCCTGGTAGCCTCCATTTCAGATGTGTTTGATATCAGTCCTCCATCTGAAATAGAGGTTACTGGGAAATAAGTTATCGCAAAAGGTATCAGGCTTCCTGTCTGGATGTGTTGTCTTTGAAAGATGGCGATTCAGTCTTCGTCTTGGGTCTAACGACAATCCTGGACTCAGCATGGCAGAGTGAGCCGGTTCCAACGGAGTGATGTGAATCGGTCATCTTACCGATTTACAAGGAAAATGATAGATCCTCTTATGAGAACCACCGGGGAATTAGTTTGATCGATCCGGCCACAGGCATGCATGGCAAACGTATCAGTCAATTGTAGGTCATAAAGATGGTCTCTAAACTTCTCGCGGGCATAATGTTCTGTCGGCCGTCAACAGTGCGTGAAAAATGCACGCTTGAGAATCAGGTTGGTTTTAGACCCAGTCGAGGCTTTATCGACCTTTTCTGTTATGCAACGCCATTAGGAAAACAAGGTCGGGCACTGCTGTAATTAGGTGCAGAGTTTTATGCAATTACGGTCGACTACTGGAGCAAGTATGTTCAGTATGTTCACGTACTTTTGCAAAGGAATGCTGCAGAAGTACGTGAACATACCAAGTTCACTCTTCTCTCATACTTCTGATAGCGTAAGGGTCTACAGGGAGCTGAGTAGGTCGTTCGTAACCAGCAGCGGTGTTCGTCAAGAGTGCCTTCTTTCACCGTTCCTGTTCAGTTTTGTCATAGCCCACTTTCCTGAGTTTCCTGCCAACCCTGAGCAGTACGTTCACAATCTATCATGTGTAAATCTGGACAAAATGTTGTTGGAGGTTTTTTCTCTAGGACCAAAGATTTGTTGTTCTAATGGCAGATCTAAGCAACTTGATGTTGAGGTGGACTTTGAAAATCTCTATGCACAACTTCCGGATCTCGTTCCCTCGTCAGCCTTGGAGTTGGAAAAGCTGAAATCAAACTTAGTCAATGCATGCTATCAACATCAGTGTGGAAGTAAAAACAAGTGAACTAATGACACCGGAGCATCTCAAACGACTCAGAGACTTGCAGAAAAACAGAGAAATCATGATATCCAAACCCGACAAAGGGGCGGGGATTGTGCTTCTGAACCGCACAGATTATTTACAAAAGATGAAAGTCATACTGAGTGACGGGTCGAAATTCACCAAAACAACAGAAAAGGATAAGACCGCTCGAACAGAGGTTGCCTTATCAAAGATATTGAGATGTTTAAAGCAAAATGGAGTCATCAATGTGACCACTTTCGAACGAATCCGGCCAACTGGGACAACGATTCCCAGACTGTACGGGTTGCGAAGGTGCACAAGGAAGGGGTACCCTTGCGACCGATTCGGGATATGTGCGATTCACCGTACCACGCACTTGCAAAATGGTCGGCTAACTTACTAGAGCCCGATTAGCGAAACATAGCGTACGAGACACATTCACTCTTGTGAACAGCATTCATGGCTTAAACTTGATGAGCCGGACAATGCTTTCATTGGACGTTAGCTCGCTCTTCACCAATGTCCGAATCAGCCAAACCATCGAATACCTGTGTAGTTATGTACCAAGTAACAGTGTTGAGATAGGCTTTCCTTTGGAAGACCTGAAACGACTGCTTTATTTTTGCACATACAACGTCTAATTCAAGTTCAACGAGCAGATTTATCGACGAAAGGATGGTGTGGCTATTGGATCACCTCTAGGACCGTTGTTTGCCGATGTGTTCATGGCAAAACTCGAAAATAACCAACTCAAATCTTCCATTCAGGATTGCGTGTTATATACAC